AGATAAATTCACACTTAATGGTAATAAAATCACAATGTATCAAAATTCATGAAATGCAGCTCAATTAATGCATAGAAAGAAATTTATAACTTTAAATTATATATTTATATATTTTAATCTGTATTAGAAAAGAGTCAATGATCTAAGCTTTCAGAGAAACTAGAAAAAGAATAGAAAACTAAACCTGAAGTAGGTATAAGAAAAGAAATAAAAACGTGAAGTAGGTATAAGAAAAGAAATAAAAACGTATGACTGGAAATCAATGAACCAGAAAACAGAAAGTAATAGGGAAATAACAAAGACAAGGTTGGTTTACAAAACGAAAGATTAATAAAATTGATATACTCACTGCAATACTGATAAAGGCAAAAGGAGAGAAAACATGTTTACCAATAACTAGAAGGAAAGACGGGTACCACTACAGATCCTAAATATATTGAAAAGATAATAAAGGAATATTATAAATAACTTCATGCCAGTGTATTAACATCTTGGGTAAAATGGACAAATTGTTTAAAAAACACAAGTTACCAACTGACACAAGAGGAAATAGAAAACTGGAATTGCAGCATATCTATTTAAGAAGTTCAATTTGCAATTCAAAATTTCCCCACAAAGAGAACAGTAGCCACACATGGCTTCTGGTAAATTCTATCAAATACATAAAGAAGAAATAATAAATATCTTACACAACCTCTTTCATAAAAGAGAGGTGGAATAAACAATCGTCAACTCATTTTATGAGACCAGTATAATCCTGAGACTAAACCTGACAAGGGGATAACATGAAAAAATATAGAGAGACAAATATCCCTCATGAACGTAGACGCAAAAACTCTCAACAATGAAGTGGCAAATGTTATCCCCCAATAGATAACATTTTTCACACTACTGCATGCCACCTGGAAGAAAAACATATAAACAGTTTGCCTGATGAATCACAGCCATACAGGTACTCTTCTGTTCCCAGTCTACAGGACTCCAGTTTGTCAGATCTCCTTGGATATTTGTATTCTTCTACTGTTGCTGCTGCTAGCTCATATTCAGAATGGAGATGGACTTGATTCAGATCTCACCACTCAGATTTCAGCTGTGACTACCAAAACTACTGCTATGATGGCCATTTGAACTGGCAAGATGGAAACTACCAAAAGGACCAGGACAAGGGTAAGGCAAGAGTCTCAGAAGCAAAATTAATGGGTCACCCAAAAACTTAGTAGTAAAGATGGATACTACTTAATGCAATATTCTAAAAAGTCAAACTTAATGAAATAATTCATGATGAACAAAATATTAATATTTTAAATAAAGACAGGATCCAACCCTACACTTGCAGAATTTGGCCTCACCCTAATTCCAGCCCTGACACATCCTGACATCAACTTTATTGTTTTCTGAGCCCACTGGGGAAAAAAGGACCAAGTCTGGTCTACACTTCCCTCCCCTGGGCTGCTCCTTCAAGGCCAAGAGGGCTACTAAGCTTCTAGATCCAATAATTCTGGCATTGTTAAATTTACAAAGAGAAACATCCTTCACTTTGCAAATATAATCTATTTTAGGATATGTTAGTAATGGCAATTTTGTTTATTTTCATTTTATTTATTTTTTTGTTTTTTTATTTTTTTTTGCGGTATGCGGGCCTCTCACTGTTGTGGCCTCTCCCGTTGCGAAGTACAGGCTCCAGACGCGCAGGCTCAGCGGCCATGGCTCACGGGCCCAGCCGCTCCGCGGCATGTGGGATCTTCCCGGACCAGGGCACGAACCTGTGTCCCCTGCATCGGCAGGCGGACTCTCAACCACTGTGCCACCAGGGAAGCCCGGCAATTTTATTTTTTAATTTTTGAAATCACATTTCCTTTTTCCATGCAAATTTTAATTTTTTAAAATTTTATTATTATTATTATTTTTGGCTGCGCTGGGTCTTCGTTGCTGCGTGCGGGCTTTCTATAGTTGTGGCGAGTGGGGGCTACTCTTTGTTGCAGTGTGGGCTTCTGATCGCGGTGGCTTCTCTCTTGTTGTGGAGCATGGGCTCCAGGCATGCAGGCTTCAGTAGTTGCAGCATACGGGCCCTAGAGCACAAGCTCAGTAGTTGCGGCACGCGAGCCCTGGAGCGCAGGCTCAGTAGTTGTGGCACATGGGCTTAGTTGCTCTCTGGCATGTGGGATCTTCCCGGACGAGGGATCGAACCCATGTCCCCTGCATTGGCAGGTGGATTCTTAACAACTGCGCCACCAGGGAAGTCCCAGTAATGGCAATTTTATGACATACATTTATGCACTAAAGGGAAAAATATCTTTACAGTGTGGAAAAGCTATGGAAAAGCATTCTTACTCTGGTATATACCTCTGCATATATACCAGAGATGCACCTCTACCATCTGCTAAATCTACTCCCCTAGACACACACATACACACACACTCAAATGTACACATGTACAAACATACACAAACACTCTGGGTGAAGCTAAGGAGTTCTAAAACTTCTTGAGGCAATTCCATCATGTAACATGATAGATTTTTATTGACTTTTCATGATTATGCTGATAAACTGGAAGGAATGCTCTTTTCAAGGTATTCCAGATCAGTCCAAGAAAGACATAAGTAGGAAGCCTTTGGAGATGCCTTTAAATTCTACACTTTACCAATATTTGTAAAGTAAGACAGGAAAGGAGTAATGGCTCCTGACACACTGAGGCCTCAAAACGCACATCTCTGTGTACTGAAAATGTTGTTAGGAATTTCTGATCCATCCATCAGGCATATTCTACCAAAACATGTAGACTGCTGATCTTCTTATGAAGATTTTCAGGACTCATATTTAGTCAATTTATTTTACTAAGTAAAATTTTTGGCTGTGCCACTTCCCTGCCAGAGAGGGAAACAAGTGTTCTAAACTTCCAGTCGTCTTGTAAGGACACCACTGATGCAGGTTAATAGTATAGCTGGCATTTATCAGGTCACTTTCTCATTCTATTTTCCAAAACTCAACTTTTTGGGTTGCTACCAACTAGGAAGATTCCTTTGAAAGTTCAATTATCTGTGTATGTTTATATTAGTCAAATTGAGAAATGACTGAATAAAGATATAAAGTCAACCATAGTAACTGAGAGTACTGTCCCTTGATAACACCCAAGGGAAGGTAAAACTATTTTTCTGACAAGCATCTCATACATCTTAAACAGACAACATAGGACCTAGTCAGACAACTGTGTAAATCAACCTTACTCACGAGGAGGAGAGATGTGTCAGCTTGGAATGCATTTGTCTGTAATCAACAGAAAACCTGACTACAGTTGTTTAATCACATAGGGGTTTATTTATAAAGTGCAACATAAAGCCTGGGAGAAGGTAGCATAGAGGTGTTGCAGCAGCTTGACAATGTTGTAAGAAATTCAAGGGCTTTCCATCTTACCATACTTAGTATATAACCTTTGTTCTATGGTATTCATCTCATGGTTGCAAGTTGGCTGCTTCAACTCAAGGCTTACTCATCAGTACCCATGCCAGTTAAGAAAAAGGAAAATGGGCAAAGTCCTAAGGAACATGCCACCTCAGATTACCCCTTTCAAAAATATTTCCCTTAAACCCGATTCCCAGTTATACTTTTACATCAGTAGCAATAACAGAGTTATATGACACTCCTACCTGCAAGAGATTATGGGAATATGAATATTTTGGACTAGAGTAGGGGAAGGAAAAGAAAAATGGGCTTGGAAATGGCTTTGTTGGTAGCCATTTGTATTCATGTCTTATAGCTGCTGTAACAAATTACCATAAACTTAGTGGCTTAACAACACAAAATTATCTTACCGTTCTGGAGGTCAGAAGTTAAACTGGGCTAAAGTTAAGGTAGAACTATATTCCTTTCTGGAGGCTTTAAGGGAGAATACATTTTCTTGCCTTTTCTAGTTTCTAGGGGCTGTCTGCATTCCCTCATTTGTGGCTTCCTTCTCTCTTCAAACTCAGTAATGGCTGGTTCAGTCTTTTTCACAGAACATCACTCTGATACTGACTTTTCTGTTTCCCACTTCCACTTCTTATTAAAGGCTCTTGTGACTACACTGGACCCATCTGGATAACCCAGGGTAATCTCCTTATAAGGTTAACTGATTATCAACCTTAATTCCATTCGCAACTTTAATTCCCCTTTGCCACATAACATAAGATATTCACAGGTTCCAGAGATTAGGACATAGATACTTTGTGGGGCCATTATTCTCCCTACCACAGTCCACCCTCTTGTCCCCAAAGATTCACATCCATCGCACATAAAAAAATATATTTAAGGTCCTCAAAGATCACATCTCATTATAGTATCATCTCAATGTGTATGCCTAGTATAAATAGTGTACACCTGTGACAACACTGGCTTTCTCTCCAGAACACACTTTCCTAATTTTAGCATCTTTTACAATCTGAATAGGCTGAGAATTTCTCAAATCATCATATTCTGGTTCCTTTTTGCTTAACAGTCCTTCCCTCAATCTATTTCATTCTTCTCACATTTTACTATAAGCAGCAAGAAGAAACCACGCTGTACTTTCAACCCATGCCTCCTCAGCCCAAATCTCCTCAGCTAAGTATCCAAGTTCATTGCTTACAAGTCCCTTTCCTCCCATATTTCCACTGCAGGACACAATTCAGCTAAGTTTTCAGCCACTATGTAGCAAGGATTCTATTTCCTCCAGTTTCCAATAACATTTTCCTCATTTCTTTCTGAGCCCTCATCAGCAGTGACTTTAAACTTTTTTTTAAAAAATTATTTATTTATTTATTTTTGGCTGTGTTGGGTCTTTGTTGCCGTGCGTGGGCTTTCTCCAGTTACGGCGAGCAGAGACTACTCTTCTTTGCGGTGCACAGAGCGCATGGGCTTCTTGCTGCGGTGGCTTCTCTTGTTGCAGAGCACGGGCTCTAGGCGCGCAGGCTTCAGTAGTTGTGGCTCGAGGGCTCTAGAGTGCAGAGTCAGTAGTTGTGGCACATGGGCTTAGTTGCCCCGCGGTATGTGGTATCTTTCTGGACCAGGGCTCGAACCCCTGTCCCCTGCATTGGCAGGTGGAGTCTTAACCACTGTGCCACCAGGGAACATCCATATTACTACCAAGTCTCCTAAGGTTTTGATTTAGGTAATCTATAAGGCAATATATGTTTTCTCCACCATACTCCTTACTTCCCTCTGAGTCTTCACTAGCAGAGTTATTAACATCTGTATTTCAACTAACAGTCTGTCCAAAGCAATCTAGGCTTTTTCCATCATGCGCTTCAAAATTCTTCCAGCCTATGCCTGCCGCTCAATTCCAAAGCAATTTCCATATTTTTAGTTATTTGTTACAGCAGCACTCCACTTCCAGTTACCAACATCTGTATCAGTCAGGGTTCAACCAGAGAAACAGAACCAGCAGGAGATATATATTAAGAGATTTGGTGCAAGGAAGTGACTTACTTGGTTGGGTGAGCTGGCTAGGCAAGTCCAAAATCTGTAGAGCAGGCAATTAGAAAGAGCAGGCTGGAAGTCTGGGGCATGAGAAGCTGCTGCCCACAGTCAGAATTTCTTCATCTCAGGTAAGACTCAGCTCTGCTCTAAGGCCTTCCAACTGACTGAATCAGGCCCATCCAGATCATCTAGGATATTCTCCCTATTTTAAGACTAACTGACTAGCAACCTTAATTCCTCTGAACCTTAATTTCCTTTTGCAATACAACACAGAATATTCACAGGTTCCAGGGATTAGGATGTGGATGTCTTTAGGGGGGCCATTACTCTGCCAACCACACCATGCTATAGCATCCACTTTTGAGGCTCCTGGAGATAGAGGAGTCCTGACAACAGAGCTGATTATTTCTTCAAATCATTCAACTCCCTCACCAACATATCCTTTACTAAGTTTTCTTTGGTTAAGTAATATTAATTCTACAATGCATTTTCTTTCAAATTCCCTATTAACCAGAACAATGTCGTCATCCAAAGGCAAGCAGATATTGGAATCCTGTGTCATCAAAAGCTCCTCTAGGCCCAGAATTTGGAGCTCACTTGAGAGTTCGTCTACAATAGCAAGAGACAATTGCAGGCAATGCATTACTTGGTCACGTCTAAAGAACTCCTTAAACATAGTCAGCCTGGTATCAGTAAACTCTTTAACAGGATCACAACTTCAGTTAGATATAAGGAAGAACTTACAAGTATTTTCAACATTAATTTAGATGAGAAAGAATAGATAATAAATATATACTTGCATGAGATAACATATGCAATATTTCAGAGTGAAAGTCCAATGATTACAAGTGTGATTTTTGAAATAAATAGCATGAAATTATACATGTTGCTGCCTATTGGTAAAACAAAAATCCAAACAGAGCTTGGAAGAAATTGGACATAAGTAAATATAAATTGATTACACTCCAAACAGAAGACGGGTTATAGACAAGTCTAACTGTGTAAATAATAAAAACTTAAAAAACTTCCAGTAATTAAAAAATGAAGTATGATAAAAAGGGATCAGACATTTTTATGTAGTGTCATATAGTGAGAAATGTACTTTTAAACTTAGAATTACTTTTATTCTGAGAGGCTAACTTTCATATTATCATTTAGAAATAAATACTAAAAGTTTAATCAGAAATATGAAATTTCCTGATATAAAATTTTTACTAACAATAATTGTAAAAATAATTATAGGACAAACAGGCCAACAAAACAATAAGTAGTATTACTAAGAAAAACTAGAAAAGAAGAAAGACAAGTAGCATTAAAGATTACTACTAGGTTAAAAAAGGGAAAGGTGTAGGAGACAAAACTAATGTTTGCATTGGGGAAGTTTTAGATACCTAACTATTCTGGAAGGTTGAACTTCTTTCTGACTTCCTCCCAAGGTCCGATTCTAGAATATTGGGGAAGACAGGCTTCAAGAATTTGAACTCATTACTCCCAGAGCCTCCCGTCAGACACACCTCGTACTGGTAGCTCTGGGACAG